CTCACCACCCGCTGACCGATGCCCAGCCAGTCCCCGAGCAGCGGCCCCCCCCAGCCAGCTTTCCCCCAGTTTATATACTGAGCATGACGTCCCATGGTATGGAATGTCCCTCTGGCCAGTTTGGCTGTGCCCCCTCCCAGCTTCTTGTGCACCCCCAGCCTTCTCAGTCGGTAGAGCACGGGAAGCTGAAAAGTCCTTGACTGGTGCAAGCACTGCTCAGCAACAACTAAAACATCGGTGTGTTATCAACATTATTCTCATGCTAAATCCAAAACACAGCACTGTACCAGCTACTAGGAAGGAAATTAACCCTATCCCAGCCGAAACCAGGACAGAGGTGAACACAAGATTATTCCTCTGTCTTATACTTGACCTGCATTCGAACCTTGCTGGCATAGGGAGCTGGTTCAGGATGGAAGTGGGAAATAATATGCCACCTGCTAAGAACAGAAGCGTCTATGTTGACGGTGTTTCTGTTGGCACAATCTACAGTGCTGCGAATGGTGATGTAAGTGGCAGCAGAAATGCCCTCTTCAGGTTGGGAAGACTTGCCAATGCTTTGAAGCTGGCAGTGGCTCTGTGGTGCAAGTGATACCTTAGGGGCAGGGGGGAACACTTCTGGGACAGAACAAACATGCAAAGTCTGGAGTAGATGAGGTTTCCTTTTTCCAAGGTCACATCTAACAGGCTGGAATTTGGTGGACTTGGAATAAAGTGCAAGTGGGACTAGCGAGAGAGCGTGAATGGATTCTGTTCAGCACAATCCTGTGCCCAAGTGAAGAAGCCTGTAATGAGTTTTTGATTAAACAGTGATTGTAATAGCTTTTGCCTGCGAGAACAAGGCTCTTGAATGTTATGTTTCTGAATGTAATGTTCATTTAGGAGTCCATGTTTTGAAAACTTCATGAGTTGTTCACTTTAATATGTGAAAATGTTTTGGGGGATTTTGTTGTTTGGGTTTTTGGGGTGGTTTTTTTTTTCCTTTTTCTGGTGGGTGTAAATTGGGTTGAGGAAGGTTTTGGCATACATAGAAAAGATTTGGAGCTGGGATGACTTCGTGACCCCAGGCTGTTATTCTAATGAACAAGCTGCTTACGCTCTTGGTTTGTTCCCGCTGTCAGCTAGAAAGGGCCCAATTTTAAAGCAGAGGTTTGGCTTGAGTACCTCCTTCTGAAGCTCTTGCTCTTCCAGGTTTCTCGGTGACCTCTATTCTTGTTTTTCCCCCCTCCTACTTCCTGCTTTTGTGTCTTCCAGGAAACAACAGCAGGATCAAGACAGCAGCCAAACTCTTTACAGCTCTGACTCTCTCTGGGTTGGTGGAAGTGAAGGAGGTACGTATGTACTAACCGCTTCCAGCAACTCCCTTGTGCAGTTACCTTGAAACGTAGATGGTGATTCCTGGGGACTTGCTGGGTGACAAGGTGTTTAGCTACCCTGGTTTACTGTAAACGTGC